TTCTGTCACTCCTGTCAGGTCATTGTGCAATGCATTTTTTCATTCATTTTGACGAAGAACCTCAAGCATTAGTCTGAGTGCACTTGATTACAGACATTCACATTATAGTTAAACATTCAGGCTATTATCGTTTAATATCAGACATTGTTGTTGAATGAATACACAGTATACAAAGTCAGATCTGCTTTCATTGCCTTTCAAACATGTACACATGAAGCAATGAAATTGCATTTCTCTTACAGGTCGTGTTGATAATTTTGCACAAATCTATTTTGAGCTTTAAAACAGTAATTATATACACATGGAACATTATATAACACAATACAGCACACAACAGAGTTTAGGATTCTCTTATGCTCAACAAGGTCATGTTTATTTGATCAAAAATACAGTAAAACATTAATACAGTGAAATATTATTACAATTTAAAATATTAAAGTTTTCTAATTTAATATATTTAATAATGTAATTTATTCCCGTGATGAGCAAAGGTGAATTTTTAGCATCATTTCTGCAGTCTTTGGTGTCACACGATCCTTCAGAAATCATTCTGATTACTGATTTGTTATTCTTATTTTTATCAATGTTGAAAACAGCTATGCTGCTTAAGATTTTTGTGGAAACTATAATACATTTATTTTTATGACTCTTTGATGAAATGTATTTATTTATTTGAATTTTTGTGACAGTGTGAATGTCTTTACTGTCACTTTTGATCAGTTTAATCCATCCTTAATTATTAAAAATTAAGAACATCATACCGCAGTATATCTATCAAGACTTGTGGATTCTTGTGAAAGTTTTTATCAGTTTAAATCTTCTCAGATTTATTCCAAACCAGTTTAGAGAGGATTTCTCTGGGTTATGTTTGAATGAGGATTATCTTCAAGCAAATTGTTAATGCCACACTAAAACTGTATTAGACTGTTTGTGTTTAGAATACTGTAATCAACACAGAATATGAGGCATGAGCGAATTATTATTCAAAGCCTTGTGTCAAGATTGAATTATTTCATTTGATTAACTGTTAGATGAAGCCATCAAAATTGTTAGCTGTAACCTACTTTGGAAAGCATCATTTTTACCCCTGTGACACAGGACTGTGTGAATGTGGCAGGATTCAAATTGGGTTTTATCTTATATAGCCAGCAATAGAATCTTTAGATTGCATGACTGCATGAAAATCAGCCATCAGAATTTGTTTTGAGGTGGTCATTTTCATACCAGGAAGGATTTGAATGACTAAAATATTAATTTCATTTGTAAATACATTTGTAAATCATTGTTAGGCTTTTCATAAGAACGATTCTCTATGGTTGGCCAGTAATGTGAGTTGGCTCGTGAACAAACAATATCATGTGTCTCATTACAAGGAGGGAATACTTAATAATGAGTCTTTTTCACCCACAGTATTGTTTTTGTTTAAAGGTAAATCATTGTAATAAATGGTACTTTAATTAAATAAATCAAACTGTTGAAAGATATCCAGTATAATATTGGTTAAATCCGTTTCTAGTTTGATGTTGATGAAAGGCTACTGATGTGGCTGTTGAGGTACCTATGACAAAAAAAAGGTTAGGAAGCACTGTGGGGACTTACAAAGCAGACTGAAGCTGGGTGCAGAACTCTGTTGATAGCTTTTAGATGAGTGAGAGCGGAAAACTCATGTTCATGTTCATGTGGGATAGGAGCCAGAAATAACATGAAAGCACGCACAGCGGGAGGAGACAGAAGCAGTCAGCAGAAAAGATCTTACTGGAGTACAGCAAGAATGAAGCAATAAGTAGGCAAAGGTTTATACAAGAGCTTTGTGGTTTTTCAGAATTGTTTATCACGAACTCGAAGTACTGGATGATAGAATTTGCCAATAATCATCTCTACCAATTTCCCCTTCAAGACCAGGAGTAGAACTAGCCCTCTGGATCAGTTTATTTAGGCTTTGGAAAAAACATTTTTATTTGTAGACATGTAGACATGTAGTTCCGGAGTCTCTGCTGGAAGTTGCATATCTACTGGCCTTGCTTAAATACAGAGTTTTGGCATGAAACTCTAGATGGCGCAGTCCGATAGGTCTAACTCAATCTGACCTAATGACATCATTATCACATGGCACAGCTGATTGGTTCTCTCCTGTATCGGTAGCCAATGAGCTCACTGCTCAACATTCAAATATATGACTAGTGCTTGCCGTAGCAGTTGCAGCTTGCTTCAGAAACCCTCCACCTTCCCCAGCTCCACCTGTATAGATCTGCTACGAGGTGATTCATGTATGCTATATGGGGTTATTTCATGTATGTTATATTTGCAGCAGCAATATTTCTGACATGCTCACAGAAGTCTAAGTACTTGCTCTGCCGCAGCAGCAGCGTAGCAGATCTATTCTGCCAAGACCAAATACATTAACATTGTCTTGTACATTACCATGCCAGTCCCTCCGAGAGTTGTCATGACAGAACTGTAGTTTATCTGGGAGTCATTATTGTTGAAGGTATTATTTGTGATGGAATATTTATATCATTTATATATATATATATATATATCATTTCAAAGGTTTATGTCTGGCCAAGGACTGTAAACACCATAGAAAGACACTGAGGGACCACCATAGAGGGATGCATTACCCCAAACCCCCTCACTAATATACAGATTAGTGGTCAAACTATGAGTTTTACAATTGGCAGTTCTTAAATTATTAGTTTTTTGCAGTTGAATGTTATGGGGGTTGATGATTAATTCCGAAAATGTCTTAATAACAGGTTTAGCAAGTAAATTTATTCACAGCACACCCCATTGTTTACAGTTAATATTCTTTCTTTGTGCCAAAAACAGAATACTTTGTCTGTTAAATTGGATCACTGTAATGATTTCCACAGCACTGAACTATTGAGCTTCACGAAGCTGGTTTGTGTGAACAAAATACTGATAAAGACTATAACTTACCAGTGTTCGAAAATGTAGTTAAAAATGATAATTTATATAATTTGATTTATTATAGTTTGATGTTAGAAGCAACAAACATTATTTTTAAAGGGGGAAATATCACAACATAACTGGGTTGAACAGAAAGTACAGCAATAAAGACAAATTCAGTGTTTTCTCACCACTATAAAATAGAATAGCATTGTCATTTCAATAAAAGCTATTACATTTTTATTCAACCCAGTGTAATATTAATGAATGGAGACATTAATTAAAGAAAATTGGCTGATATTCAGAATAGATTTTTTATTTCATTCAAAATCTTTTACCTTACATACTAGTGTTAAATCTATCATATAATGTGTTTAAGTTCAGTTTCTTGTTAATTACAGTATATCTAAGTCAAATTGTTTATTCAACCCAGTGTAATATTAATGAATGGAGACATAAGAAAATTGGCTGATATTCAGAATAGATTTTTTATTTAATTCAAAATCTTTTACCTTACATACTAGTGTTAAATCTATCATATAATGTGTTTAAGTTCAGTTTCTTGTTAATTACAGTATATCTAAGTCAAATTGTTCAGATCCAGCAGTTCTGACCGTTTTTAAACAACTTATGCTGGGAAAGTCTTTTATAAAGTGGTTGAGGTGTTTAGTAAATTAATTACAAAATCTGTCTATTATCTATTTGGTTTAACTTCAAATTGTTAAAAATGGAGAGAACTTTGGCTTTAATAATGAGTTTTGGAACAGAGTGATGAGGAAAAAACATTCGATTTATGTCTCTGAACATCAGCTGCTATGAGTCTGTGCTGAACTATAGGCTATTAATGTTTCATAGGACATTAGTGGAAACACTGACATAAAAGGGTTATGGATCTAATTGCATTGTACAGGTGCACCTACACATGTGTGCAAATACTTTTCACACTCCAGCACTTTCCATCTCTCTCTCCCATTCTCAGTTCTATTTTTTCTCACCAATCATATTTAAGAATGCTAGATGGTGTCACAAGGAATTATTATTTATTTGTGAAGGTCTCAAGACACTTGTCCATTAGAGGCACAAAACACTGTTTTTAACTATTAGATTAGAATCAACTCTGTTACCTAAGTTATTGTAAGAAAAAAAATGGGAAAGTTAGTTTGTCAAATGTAAACCAACTGTTGGTTCCAAACTAGCAAACCACATACTGAGCCAGAGTTTAGGCTAAATATGGAACCCTGCTTCCCATTCTGCCATGGCATTTTTTATACATTTTTATGTATGTAATGTTTATTGCTGTAAAATACAAATTGCTAACTAATAAACAAAAACACTGTATGCATGGCTAATATAATATTTAGGGTTGTCTGTCAGCATTTTCTAAAGATTCTGGAAAAAAAAGCATGCAATTTCACTGACCATTTGTTGGAAAGAAAACATTTTTTTAGAGTTTCAGGCCCTACCCTATTCTGTGAGAGTGCCATTCCATCAATTTTTGTAATAAATGGCATGCCATTTATCTTTGCTGCCTAAAAAATCTAAAAGAACTGCATGTTATACTTGTAGCGATGTACCCATTTCCTCTCCCGCTGTGAGCACAGATGCACACGCCCCCCCTTCCTCTCTCTCTCTCTCTCTCTCCCAGGGTTTCTGTCTCTCTCTCATCCCTCCAGTCCTCCTCTCTCTCTCTCTCGCTCGCTCTACTACATTGCCATCTCTTTTCCTCCTCCCCTATTTTTCTTCTATCCTTTGATCATTCTCATTTGCTTGTTTTCTTTTCTGTAAACTGCCTCTCTTTCTTTATTTGTCTTCCATGCCTCTCTTTTTTTTATTTCTATAGATAGGCACAGCTGAAGAGATTCTAGCCGTTCTCTCAGCATCCTTTCATGCTGCCTTCACTCATTCACGCCACAAAATCTTCTGTCACTTCTCTCACGGGGGGGGGGAAATTGTCATTTTTATTTTCTTGTGTTTATTCCTTCACTCAGCCGAAGATTCCGACTGCAGCTTGTGTTTTATTCCAGAACGCCACCGTCCACGTATTAGAACGGATTTTTTTATTCTAACCTGGAATCATGTTCTATTTCCAGCTGGTGATCATGGCAGGAACGGTTCTCCTGGCTTACTACTTTGAGTATACGGACACGTTCCCGGTGCACGTTCAAGGATTCTTCTGCTTCGATAAAGCCTTCTCCAAGCCGTATCCAGGACCTGAAGATGACAGCAGAGCTCCTCCGGTGCTGGTGTATTCGCTGGTCACCGCCATCCCCACCGTCACCGTAAGAGTTCTACTGCCATTCATAAACTCACACTTCTCTGAGGTGCCACACGTGTGTGTACGTCATTGTGTCAACGTGTGGGATCGCTAATGAGTGTGTTTGAATGTGAATGTGTGTTAATGTGATCTTATGCATCTGATATTTTACAAACTCATTCGACTCATGTCATTTGGTAACAATCTGGATAAAAGAACGAGAAAAACTACTTCTAAAGACATTTAATTTCCTCCTAAAATATCTTGGGAGAAATCAAAATTACACAAGATTTGACTTTTAAGTATTGTTTATAAGTATATAGCTATAAATTGTGAATAGCAGATTTTGATTTCATATAAAAATCTCTTTTAATTGCAGACTCGCTCTTTAATGCATTCTAGGGTTAAATGGTTCATCTAGTAAACACTTTAAGTGACCAGCTATACTGTATGTAATGTTAGTTATTGGCACTTTCATGCTGGCTTTGGTTGGTCACCTAGTACTGGTCAGGTTGGTTTACTTGCCAAAAAAAAAACAAACAGATTAACCAGCTGTGTAAGTTACTAAAACTAGTTAAGACAATTTTGGAGTGGTTCAGTGTATAAAGGGACAAATCCAACAGAGCATACAGTGTTTTTTGTGTCATCTTGGTGAAATCCAGTCATTTCAATAGGAATCCATGCAGTCGGGAATTTCTTGTGAAAGTGAAAGATTTCTGCATGCTGATTTGTTATATAAATTCACCTTTTTGACCAATGGCAAGCTTCTTGGTTTGAAAATGAGCTGTGCGAGCAGTTCTTGAGGCATCGCTACATTTTACGGTGGACCTTTTTGCCCACAAAATTTCACTAATGTGACCCTACTTTAAGTGATTTAACTTAATGTACAAGGTTTGTCTTATTTGCTCACCAAGGCTACATTCAATCAAAAACACAGTAAAAACAGTAATATTGTGTATAAATAAAACGTTATTACAATTAAAAAAAAAACGGTCTATTTTAATATATTTAATAATGTAATTTCTTCAAACGCTGCATTTTCAGCATCCATAATCCCAGTATTCAGTGTCACATGATCCTTCTGAAATCATTCTAATATGCTTATTTGATGCTTAAGAAACATTTCTTATTGTCAATGTTGAGAACAGTTGTGCTGCTTAATATTTTTTGTGGAAACCGTGATACATATTTTTCAGGATTCTTTCTTTTGATACATTTAATGCATCCTTCCTGAATAAAAGTAATAATTTCTTTAAAAAAAAAAAAAAAAAAACTCTTACTGACCTCAAACTTTTGAATGGTAGTGTGGCTAGAAGCGTTCATGTACTTGTGTAGGGCATGTTTTGGGCCTGCTCTGTCTCTTGTGTGGATGTCAGGGTTGGGACATCGTGTCTTTCTTATTTAGGTCAGTCCCAGCGTAAGTGACATCAACAAGGTCAGATGTCTACAGTGTGATGCAGTGCAGTGAATGGAAGCTAGATGAGGTCAACATAAGAGTCTCCATTCAGCTAGCCAAGAAAAAATACAGATTTCCCAGCGGTATCAAATTATTCATTATCAGAGGCAGGGTGAATTAATGTCTGTCTCACCCAACATCACAGAAACAGATGGCGAGATACCACAAATTCAAACATCAGAGAGGCTTTCTTCACTTTTTAGTATTTTTACACATGCTGCACACACACACATGCACGTTCCTCATCTGTGCAAATGAGAGCAGAAGGTGAAAAAAAGCTCACCATCTTGTCTTTCTTCACATGGGGATGACAGCAGTGTGCACAGGGACACCTGAGGCTCCCTCTGCGCGCTGAGAGGCACCTGAGGTTTAATTTGGGCAAAGCTGTGTGTTTTTCTTGCCATGTCTATCTAGTCTATGTGATTATTATTTTAGTGATACATTTTTTGCCATGTGTTTTTTTGTGATGTGAGCTTGTATTTTATTTAAATTATATTGTTATATTTAATGTCGTATTATTTAATTTAATTTTATTATTTATTTTATGTAACATAATGAAACAAGTATAGAGATGCAAAAAAGTGGGGAAAAAACGTGATGTATAGGGTTCTATGTGAGCATAAAGAGGAGTGAATTAGGAAATGTCCAATTTCACTCATAAATGGGACCATTCAAAATTGTTTTTGCATTGTAGCGTTATTTACATATAGGCTTCTTTTTCTTAATGGGGTCATGAATTGCAATTTTCTATGATGTTTTCTGAGGTCCACTAATAATTAAACAATTATAATGTTAGCAAGATCAAAAAACAAAATAATTTAGAAATAACTTTAGAAGTAACTCTTTGAAACACCATGTTTTAATAGGCAGGCCACTTTCAAGACTTGGAAGTAAACACCCACTGCTATAATTGGGAAACAATTTTGCAAATAAAAATAATAGATGGACACTGCTGTGATGTACTATGAAAACAATATGTTGGTTGAATGTATAAATACTCAGTACATCTCAAACAATCTGTAACAGACAAAGCAATAGTGACACATGGTAAAAACACTTCTGTGTTGCAACATTAATGTTGGATCGAATAGAGTCGGCATTGTACTGTATCCTTTTCTCTGAAAACCTTGTGTCTAACTCTTCAAATTTTACAGTAAACAAATCTACAGTAAAATGAAGCAAAAAATGAACAACGTCTTAGGTGGTGTTTACTTGACAGTTTTAAACTGGTCTGAAAACGCAATCTTTTAAAAACAGCTTTCAAAGCGTGAGCTTTTGAAAACGATGCTGTTACTGTGTAAACTACAAAAACATAGAATTCGTGAAAACAGTGACAACGTGCTTGGGCTTTATGTGTTCAGTCTGAAGGAAAACACGTATTTGCACCAGCACATAGTGTTTCTTCACAAAGTGATATTGCCACCTATTGGCCTGGCATGCATAATACAGCATTTTTTGTGTGTTTTCGGAGATCTGCATGAACATGTTTTGACAAATGTTGTCATACGCAAATCATTTCAAAAACACAAAAGAAAAACATTTCCATTTTTAGTCCAATCATTGTGGTGTGACCGTACCCTTGTTGACACAATCTGGAACTTAAAAATAAAGTTCATTCACTCTTTCCTAATGTTGCACCGCATCTACACCAGACATGAGTGGCATAATGCAATGCAACTAAAGACAATATAGAAGCCATTATAATCAGTGATTCTGTCTACACTGGATGCAGCATGATGCAACGTGTACACAACGTACATTAAGGAGATTTCCAACGGTCACTTTGTTGCATCCAGTGTAGCCTGTTGCAGTGGGATGCAACGTGATGCAACAACGGTTGCATCTGGTGTGGACATGGTGTTAAGATCACAAGGAAAGCAATATAAAAACTGTCTTTCCACAATTTGGCATACAGCATCTTGTAATCCTCTGAGGCATCTCTATCATTTTGTTGCTTGAGTAATGATTTGCACCTCTTTCATTTTTACTCACCTCCTACTACTACATGTGCAAATTGTTGGGCAGGGCTAAAGAGGCAATGATGAAGAAGCAGGTGTTGATCTTCTGCAGGTCTTTCATCACACTATCACATCATACTGAAATAAAATATGAGACAAACTGTTTTGGCAGCTTGGTGTCAATAAAAGCTGTTTTTGAATTTGTAGTACAATTATATGTCAAAGGATCAAAGGAACCTTGATTTGTCATTCCATGACTTTTTTATTTTGATGTTGAAGTGAAATGTGATCTGGACATTTCTTCTCTTTCATTCAGAGATGAACATATCTATGTAGGAACACTGTGTGCAAGTGTGTAAGCATGCTCTCTTTGTGTGTAACTGCTTTTACTCTGTCTTGAGGATAGTGAGCATTTACATCTGCGCCCTGTGTGTGTGTGTGTGCACGTGTGTGAATATGTGGGTTCTTGGAGTGTGTGTGGGCGGTTAGCGGTTTCTATCTTTTGCTGAGAGTAAAATCTGGAAACAGTGATAGTAAAAAGGAAAAACTCTCCCCTCAGTTTTAGCACCTTACACAAGGCATCTTTTGAACCCCGCTGAAGGGCTTAATTGAGACATGCTGCCTCTCCACATCTGAAGATGTCAAGTGGCTCTCTAATTCACAGCATTCACAGACATTTGTGTTCCATAATGAGTGGAGTGCCACTGAGTGCTGGATCGAGGTCAGTTCCATTTCACTACAGATAGTTTAACAAGGATGAGTGAAATTCAGTTCACTATGCCTGAATTTCTTAAAAGGAATAGTTTGCCAGATCTTGTGCATTTTCTATGTGGATGAAGGGTAGAAGGTTCATTCTGTCCTTTAAGGAGGTCATGTCCTACATTTTATATCATTTTATTGTTTCCCTGAAGTCCACTTTTAATAAGTCATGGTTTCATGCACAAAGAACAGTCATAATTTAGTTTTATATGAACACTATACCCAATCTAAACCTAAGATTTAAAGGGCTAGTTCAACCAAAAATGAAAATACTGTCATCATTTACTTTTTTTTTTTTTTTTTTTTTTTTTCAAAAAAAAAAAAAAAAAAAAAAAAGACAAATTTGTCAACATTTATTCATGTTTTTTTTTTTAAACCCATTTTCTGTTAAACACAAAAAAAGTTATTTGGCTGGATGTCCAGGCTGCTGTTTTCCATACAATAAGAAAAGGGCTGTAAAGCAACAAAAAAAAAATTACCATTTGTCAAGTTGCGCACACACACGAGGGGACGCTGGAGAATACTTTACCAAGACTTTATTTGCACCAAGGAACCAAGGGAGACGAACAACGAACAACGTTCACACGAAGACGTACAACAGCGGACAGAGAACTTGGGACTGGGAACACCATTTATACACACACACAGGAGGAGGGGATGACGAGACACACCTGGGATCAATGAACCATCATGGGGAACACCTGGGACAAATTAAACACGGGAAAGGAACACCTGGGGAGCAAGACACAGACAAAACATGGAATAGAGTCTGACACCATTAAAGTAGTTTAATGACTTGTGCATTATTTTCCAAGTCTTCTGTGAATGTTCACATTTGTAGTAGCTCTCAAA